TTCCCTCTCCCCCTCCCTCCCTCCCTCCCTTCCGATGCCGGCTCCTGAGGGAATGCCGTGCGTGGCGCGTCTCTTGCAGGTAGGTGGTCACTCTGCTCGCAGCAGGTAGTGGTTCAGCTTGCATGTAGCCCACCCCACTGAGGCTAAACGCCCCTCCTCAGCTGGTCCCGAATCCACACACGGGAAACACAGAGCAGAGGCCAAGGGAGGCTCAGGGAAAGGTTCCTGCGGACCGGCTTCCTGGAGGTAGCGGCACGTTTCAGAAGGAAAGGAGCTTCAGCCGTCCGGCTCCTACTTGAAAGCTCAGCTGAGGTGCCGACGCCTTCTCTGAGGAAGGCTGCCCGCTCAGTGCCCTCCTAGCCTCCAGTCCAGCACTGACCACGCTCTCCCCACTGGGAATCGCCCCCGCGAAGGGACCGTGCTCGCGGCATCTTGGTGCTCCCCTCTGTATATGCTGAGGCATTACTTGAATAACCTGTAAGCCTTTGAAAGTATCCAAATTCGACGTGGTCAGGCCTGCTCTGGTCTCTCAAATCTCCGCAGCATTCTAGCTCATTCCTCCTTCAGATGAGATTAACACCGCTGCCCCCGTTTGTAGATAACGAGACTCCGGGGATCCAGCTCCAAATTAGTGCCGCCCGCACGCCTCCTCCCGCCTCCCCGCTGCCACAGGTGGACCCTGAGCTTCCCTTCTCTTTCTCTTTGCTGAAAAGCTCCCTAACCCTGAGGAGATTCCGGTTCTCCGGTACCTGAATGGGGATGACCTGCTGCTGCTGGCCAATTTAATAAAGATTCGACGCCTGTTTCATAAACTTGAAGGATGTGCGCATTTTCCCTCCAGCCAGGTTTGGGAAAAATTAAAGCAACCTTCCTACCTTTCCTCACTTTCTGTAAAACTAATTGCCCTTTGTCACAACTCCGGTATAAAGAAAGATACAATAAAAACAATATCAGCTATAATAAATGAAAACACTTAACAAATGATGGTGCCTTCATTTTTTGTTATTTTGGGAGGCGGTCTGAGAGATTTCAAGAAAAGTGTAATGACCAGGAAATACCAAGAAATACGCTTTATTACACGTTTAGAACACATCCTGAGTCACCAGTAGCTTACATTTGAAGTTGGAAAACTAAACAACTCACTTTCGGGACACCAGAGAATGAGCGTGGTCATTCCTAAGTGTCCATTATCAGAGTTCTATCAGGAAAACAGAAAGCAGGGAGGATGAGATGCTTCCAAAACCATCCGAAAGGCTCTGGAAGTGAAGGTCAAGGAAATCCCCTGCTGGCTCTTGGGAAATCTGGAAGAGAAGGAGTCTCAGGAAGCCATGAAGCCAACAGCACCACAGTGAGCAGGAGCTCTTCCGGATGAGCTGCAGTCTCACCCAGGAGCGCAGGATCACAAGAAGGGGCCATCTACCCCATGTCCACCCCTCCTGCCCACCTCACAAACTTCATGCCTCTCCCTAGGGAATGGACAGAGGTTCCTAGACTCAGGTCTTGATCAATGCTAAGTGTTTCAATTTTATTTTTGCCTTCTCCCCTCTTCCTTTTCACTGATGAATGAAGTTTTAGTTTCTATCAAGTGAGACAAATATTAAACTAATTGAACTAATATGTATCTGTATAGCTCTTAAAAAATAGCACATTTGTACAACACATAACAATCACAACAAAGCCTTAACTGAATCTGTTTTTTGTACATCAGTAAGAATTATATTGGGAAGCTAAACCCAGAGTGGATACTGAATGAGGCCTTGATTAATTGGAGACTGGCGGGATAAAGAAATGATATCCTTTATTGTGTGGCTTCATGTTTAGTGACAGAATGTTATTTAAAATTATCTTCACTTTTATACTCTGGTTTCTCTTCAGATCAGATAAAGCTTTCACCTTTTAAAATTATCTTAACTTTAAAAATAATTACATGTAATAAAGAAATTGATGTTCCTTCTTTAAAAATGTATTAAAAATAAAAATGTTTCCAAGTGAAGAACATATCTATATCTATTAATCTATTAGGGTCATATCTCAAAGCAGTTTTATTTACTTAAAGGATTGGGTTGTTAAAAATAACAATAATGATGTATCTTATTTTGAGTATATATACAAAAAGTGGATTGGGGTATGCCATAGATTTTATATCAATGTCTGCTTTTCCATATGGCTGTTTTAGGCAATCTCAGTATTGAATAATCCACTCTGCTAATTCATGGGTGGTTTTTTCTTTTTTTCACAATAACAACCTCTTCAAAAAAATTAAACTCTTATGGCCATAAAGTTGTCATATACTAATACTACATAAATTGAGGGAGAAGAAAACACTTCAAATGTGTAGGTTTTTCCAGATGTAAATGTTAAAGAAATTACTGATGTGCTTAGAGGAGTACTACAAATCTTTGTCCCTCTTTATTTCTGATCTCAGGATTATGACTTTTATTTTTATTTTGTTTATGCATATTTTAGATTTTATGTACACATTTCTGACAGATAAAATAATCATATTTTAAGAAGACATATATGCACTTCAATGTAACTGATAAGCAAAGAAATTACAACACTTTGCTCCAGGTAAAGTTGGCAGCAAAGTGTGTTCAGCAAAGCCCTGCCTGGATCAAGATGTAAAAATCATGTCCGGTATATCAGCCTACACAAACTTTTTGCGATATATGAGCCAAATATTTTAAAGTACATTTCACTGGTGGCCTTTTCTGCTAACAAAAGTAATACCAACTTGTTGTAGAAAATTTGGGAGATTACAGAAAAGTATAAAGATTTTAAAAGTACTCATAATCCCACCATAGGGAGACAGTCATCTTTAATATTGTGCTCTATTTCTTTCTAGTCCCTTATCTGTATTTATGTATGGATATTTTTTTCTAAGATTTTTTATTTATTTGAGAGAGAGAGAGAGCACAAGCAGGGGGAGAGGCAGAAGGAGAGGAAGAAGTAGGCTCCCCACTGAGCCGGGAGCCCGATGTGGGACTCGATCCCAGGACCCTGGGATCATGACCTGACCAAAGGCAGACACTTAACTGACTGAGCCACCAGGGCACCCCTGGATATGTTTTTAAAAAAATTTTTTTTCAAGCACGGGAATCAGTCATTGCCAATAAGCATTTTGACAGCTGGAGCAGCCACTCTGGAAAACAGTATGGAGGTTCCTCAGAAAGTTGAAAATAGAACTACTGTACAACCCAGCAATTGCACTACTGGGTATTTACCCCAAAGATACAAATGTAATGATCCGAAGGGGTACATGCACCCCAATGTTTATAGCAGCAATGTCCACAATAGCCAAACTATGGAAAGAGCCAAAATGTCCATCAACAGATGAATGGATAAAGAAGATGTGGTATATATATACAGTGGAATATTATGCAGCCATCAAAAAAACCGAAATCTTGCCATTTGCAACGACGTGGATGGAACTGGAGGGTATTATGCTAAGCGATATAAGTCAATCAGAGAAAGACATGTATCATATGATCTCACTGATATTAGGAATTCTTAATCTCAGGAAACTGAGGGTTGCTGGAGTGGTGGGGTGTGGGAGGGATGGGGTGGCTGGGTGACGGACATTGGGGAGGGTGTGTGCTATGGTGAGTGCTGTGAATTGTGTAAGACTGATGAATCACAGACCTGTACCTCTGAAACAAATCATACATTATATGTTAAAAAAAAAAAAGAGGATAGTAGGAAGGGAAAAATGAAGGGGAAATCGGAGGGGGAGACAAACCATGAGAGACTATGAACTCTGAGAAACAAACTGAGGGTTCTAGAGGGGAGAGGAGTGGGGGGATGGGTTAGCCTGGTGATGGGTATTAAGGAGGGCATGTATTGGATGGAGCACTGGGGGTTATACGCAAACAATGAATCATGGAACACTACATTAAAACTAATGATGTAATGTATGGTGATTAACATAACATAATTAAATTAAATTTTAAAAGATAGGAAGAAAATTGCATTTCTACTCCCCAAAGAAAGTTGTAGAAATTAGTCTCTATTAAATGGAGAGCTACTAAATAAGCCAATAAATTAAATGCACACTATTTGTTAGTAAAGAAACAAATACCTTCTGGAACTATTAGTATTTCCATTTTCACAGGTAAATTCACTACCAGTTTATAAAAAATAAATGAATGAATAAATAAAGCAAAATCTTTTCAAGTTTAAATTTTAATGAAGGTACTAAATAAAATTGGTAACATTTGGGATGCCAATCACATATTCAGAAGCAAATGTTATACTTTAATAATAATTTTTTAAAACACAGAAATGAACTGTGCTTTTCTCCAACTGTGTTAGATAATACACAAAGGGTGATTTAAAAATGTATTTTACTTCAAACTCAGTAATTATGATCATTCTATTGTTTCATTTTCCTACAACAGATATTACGTATGTATATTTTGTGCTCTACCTTATTCCAGAAACAGTGTAAGGAATCTTTTAGGAATATATTCAATTTAGAAAAAGAAAATAATTTTAGGGCACCTGGGTGGCTCAGTTGGTCAAGCAACTACCTTCGGCTCAGGTCGTGATCCTGGAGTCCCTGGATCGAGTCCCGCATCGGGCTCCCTGCTCAGCGGGGAGTCTGCTTCTCCCTCTGACCCTCCCCCCTCTCGTGTGCTTTCTCTCATTCTCTCTCTCTCAAATAAATAAATAAAATCTAAAAAAAAGAAAAAGAAAAGAATTTTAAAGCATGTAAATATAACTGAGGCACTATGAAATGGGTTAAACTATTTCAAAAACACATCCCCTAGTCCTCTTGCTGAAGCCAGCACAAGACAACCTACAGTGAAAAGATAACTCTCCTCAAATTACACGCTTTCTTGGAGGGAGTGTCTTACCAGACACTACACTCGATCTTAGCTAAAAGGCTGAGAAGCGATGGGGAGCGATGGGGCGTGTCTTGTCATTTTTTCCCCTATGACACAGAGTGAAATGCAGGAACTAGGAATACCCTGGTTGGAGCCAAACTGGCAAATCAAAAGCAGGTGATAAAGACACTGTATGTGTGTCCACAGCCAGAAAGAGAACCGCTGGACTCTCTCTGTCATACCTCGTGGTGGCCCAGCAGTAGACGATGCACAGAACAGTCTAGGTGCAAACCAACACTGCTCTTCGCACCCACTTTTTACACACTGCTCTACAGGACTGGCACTGAGAAACAAAAACAACGGCGTAACGTCCATCCAGATTCTTCAGAGATGATGCTCAATTGAATCATTTTCCAAATACCCCGGGCGCTTCCTCTGTGTGAAACCATCAAGCAAAGTGACAACACAGTGGGAAAACAGTCCACCTCTTGCTCGCCTGTTGATGGGAAAACCTACAAACACCTGACAAACACTGAATGAATCAACAAAGGGAAATCTCTACCGGGGATATACGTGGCATGGAGCGGAATTCTGGGTGTCTCGTCGCTGCTCCAGCCTAAGGACAGACTAACAGTGCCCCCAATTCAAAGGCTAGTTCTTACCTCAACAGTGCGTGGAGAACCTGGTTTTCTCTGGAGCTGCGCTGTGCCTGCTTACAGATTTGTCAGACACACAGCTGGTACTCTCTCTGTGTAAACCGAATGTATTCATAAACCAGGTTTTCATTCCAGGTCTAGAATTCACCCCATTTATTTGTTCATCTGCTTAATAAACATTTATTAAATGACTCCTTTGTGCCAAGCACTGGTGATACAAAGTTTAAAACCATAGTTTCCTCTCTCCAGGGAAAAAGAGAGCATGACACAACAATGAGGTAAGTGCAGTGACTGGAAGTAGTACAGGGAGCACCCAAAAGAGACCACCTGTCCCAGCCCAGGATCTAGGTGTCATGAGGGGTGGAGGGCACAAAGGTGAGCGAATCAACTGTTCGATCTCAGAATAATCACAGTATTTTCTCCCAGAAGCAACAAGTAATCCCTTAGTAGGTCAACTGGATGCAGGAATCACCGGTGATTCAAATGATGCCCACAAAGT